ACACACACACACATACATACACACTCACACATGTATGTGTACCCATAGAATTCTTTCTAAAAGAATATACAAGCCAATAACAGGGCTGCCTCTGGAGAGGGAGTTAGAAGCTGTGGGGCCTCAGGAAGGTGAGAATGTAAGTCTTTGAGAGGATTCTCTTTTCCTTTTCCTTTCTTTTCTTTCCTTCTTTTCTTTCTTTCCTTCTTTTTTTTTCTTTCTTCTTTCTTGCTTCTTTCTTTCTTCTCTTCCTTCCTTCTTTCTCTTCTTTCTTTTTTCTTTCTTTCTTTCTCTCTTTCTTTCCCTCCATCCCTTCTTTCTTTCTTTCCTTTCTTCCCTTCCTGTCTCTCCTTTATTTCCTTCCTTCCTCTTTCTCTTATGTTTATTTTTGAGAAAGGGAGAGAGAGAGAGAGAGAGAGAGGGAGAGAAAGAAAACGAGTGGGGGAGGGGCAGAGAGAGAGAGGGAAACACAGAATCTGAAACAGGTTCCAGGCTCTGAGCTGTCAGCACAGAGCCCGGAATGGGGCCCGAACCCACGAACCACAAGACCATGACCTGAGCCGAAGTTGGACGCTTAACTGACTGAGCCACCCAGGCTCCCCTCATTTATTATTTTCCTTCCTCCCTCCCTTCCTTCCTTCTTTCCTTCTTTCCTTCCTTCCTTCCTTCCTTTCCTCCTTCCTTTCTCTTTTCTCTTTCTCTCTCTCTTTTTTTTTTTTTTTTACCATGTGCGATATGAATTTGTATTTTTAATGACAGTCAGGAGCCCTGGGCTCCAGTCCCAGCTCTAGGCCAGAACTCTTGACTGCCCCAAGCCACCCTCCCTTCCCCCTCCTATGAGCACCTGTGCCACCCAGGAGCCTAGGAGGGAGGGGGCAGGGAGGTGTGTGAGAGCAGCAGGCAGGGAGAGGGCCCTGGGATGAATGATTTACAGGCCCCTGGGATGCTGGGGCTGAGAGGGAAGTCCAGGCTCCTGCAACAGGTGTCTGACGGAGGCCAGCCGCTCCCAGCCACCTA